GGAATGGAACCAACTTCCACTAGAGATTGTGAACTCCTCCTCCAAAAGGGTCTTCAAAAGCCTGCTAGACTCACACCTAGGGCTTACTATCCCTTGATCTAATTGGCCTCCATCTTCTAAAGGAAACCCCCACGTTATCCCGCTTATCCCTGTTATTACTCCTCTCTCATCCTCGCTCTCCTCTAGATTTTTTTACCGATGCATGCACCCTTTACCCAGCGGCACCATATTTGAGCCAGCTCCCATTTCCGTCAACATCCCTTTCAGCTCGTAAACCGAACCGCGGAAAAGAAGACAAATCCGGATTCGGGAATATTGGGCCCAAGCCTCGAAACCGAGTACTGCTTCAAGATTTCAAGACTTGTTGCCTGGTCTTAACCTCCAGCTCTTCGATTTTCCTTTTCAGTGCGTCAATCCCACCGACATCCTTGCGGGCCTTTTTGTAGTTACTCCATCCTTGGTATCGGTCTATCACCGTCGTGTCCCTTCGCCCATGTGGTGCTAGTTGGAGTATTTGGCTGTCCTGCAGGCGTCGCGGGTACCTCAATGCACCACGTGCACACCCACTTGAGCATTTTATGTTCAGGGTAGAGTTTCAACGCTTTCTTCTTTAGGCCACTGCAAGCCTGATGGTACCACTTCGCGCAATTGTCGCAACAGATGCCTTCCTTGACATCGGTTGAGCAACTTGCAATACTGCATGGGTATTCCATGGACTGGGGTATATTCTTCGCCTCACCCAAACTTTTAGAAGCACTACTCCTGGTTTTTGGTATACCGGTGGCGTAACTTCTTAGAATGCGACCACCCATACCGAGGACAATTAAACAGAATGATACAGAATAATACCACAATGGCTACAACTAAAGATAGTGACTACCAAAACACTAGAGGCTACAGCAACACCAACAATGTCAAAAATATTCCTAAAATTAAGGCTAAAACAAAGAGTTAACGCAAAAAATAGATACGAAACAAACCACGTCCAATTTTCAAAACCGCGCGCCAAGTCAAGGCGATTGCCAGAGTGTAATACCTATGTGGAACAGGTTACCCGCAAAAGTGGTCAACTACGCCAATGTTAACGCCTTCAAGGTGGCTCTGATCGCATGTTGGTCAGTAACGCTCCTTGAAGCTAGTATTTAGAGTGGGAACATGAGGAATAAATTCTACTTTAGGCGGAAGCTTTTGAAGTGGTGCAAACTCAGGCTTGAATGTTGGAATTATTCTAAAACTGACTGTCCTGTCACATGTGATCTGTGTATACGAACGCATGTGTACTTGAGGTCTCTAACCAATGTGGCGAGGAGATATCCTTGCTTGCTTTCCTCCCTTTCAGCCCACCCCCAAGGAGTCAACGTTCTGGCAGCGGGGCTAAATTGAGAGGATAACAAACACCTAATTATTTGTACGCAGTGTTGGAAGGTAATCCAATCCGCCGACAACACAACAAACTGGGTGCTCGGTTGGCAAGAGCCATATTCGTCCTTTGAAACTGAACTGAATCTGATTTGAATTGTTGTTTGGCGCGTCATTTGTTTCGTTGCTACACGAAATGGCTGCTCTCGTGAGTTTTATGACTAAGCATGGTACATTGGGTTTTCCATTAGGTTTATGTACTATTTAAGCGTCAGTTTACGGTCTCGGATATATTTTAATTGAGTACGTTTATTTTAGGAAGTTGAGCCATTGCCTACCCGGTCTCCAAAATATAAGGCTGGTGATCCTTCCCGAAAATTCAAACGCGAGTCGGAGAAGGATGTACCAGATCCTGTTACTACGACATCAGAAGGACTTAAAAATTACTATGCAGCGAAGATTGACGAGCATCAGTTTGTCGTTACGGAGAAACTACAAAATCTTCGACGGCTGGAGGCGCAGAGAAACGAACTTAATGCCAAAGGTACGCTAATTCCACATGATACACTATTTTGTAGTTCGAATGTTACGTGAGGAGCTACAGCTTCTTCAAGAGCTGGGCTCTTACGTTGGCGAAGTAGTGAAAGCTATGGATAAAAAGAAAGTCCTAGTTAAAGTGCAACCAGAAGGGAAGTTTGTGGTGGATATCGACAAAAACATTGATATCTCGCAAATATCTCCTAACTGCCGTGTGGCTCTCCGTAACGAAAGTTACACATTACACAAAATATTGCCGAGCAAGATAGATCCTTTAGTATCTCTTATGATGGTCGAGAAAGTACCGGATTCCACCTATGAGATGATCGGGGGTTTGGATAAGCAAATCAAGGAGATAAAGGAGGTCATCGAGCTACCTGTGAAACATCCCGAATTATTTGAGGCCCTTGGTATTGCACAACCTAAGGGTGTTTTACTCTACGGCCCTCCTGGTACCGGGAAAACGCTCCTTGCTCGTGCTGTTGCCCATCACACAGAGTGCACTTTTATTCGTGTCAGGTAACAACTTCTCCATTACTATAGTGCTTTGCAGTGGTTCTGAGCTTGTTCAGAAGTTCATCGGGGAAGGAGCAAGAATGGTACGGGAATTGTTCGTAATGGCCCGTGAACATGCACCTTCTATAATTTTCATGGACGAAGTCGATTCAATTGGCTCAACTCGCGTTGAGAGCAGTACCGGTGGTGACAGTGAAGTTCAGCGCACCATGCTTGAGCTTCTAAATCAACTTGATGGTTTCGAGCCGAAACAGAACATCAAGGTACTGTGTGTCCATTTTACCAATCTTTAGGTCATTATGGCCACCAATCGAATCGACATTTTAGATTCTGCTCTTCTTCGTCCAGGTCGGATCGACCGAAAAATTGAGTTTCCCGCTCCTAACGAAGAAGCTCGTTTGGACATTCTAAAGATTCACTCTCGCAAAATGAATTTAACGCGAGAAATTGACCTAAGAAAACTCGCCGAATCCATGCCCGGTGCCAGCGGTGCTGAGGTGAAGGGTGTATGTACCGAAGCGGGGATGTATGCGCTTCGGGAACGCCGCGTTCACGTTACACAAGAAGACTTTGAACTTGCTGTTGCGAAGGTAAGGTGGTTTGTTTTTCTGCAGGAACTCTAATGATTGTTACATCTCACGTTTGGTTGTGGCTCACGATGCGAGATTTGGTCATCGCATCTGGATCAATTATCTGATTAGTGGTCTGATTATCAAGCATTGTTCAGGAAGTCGGTAAACTGTCCAGAAAGATGTCAGCGCGGCTAGTCCATAAAATTCGACAAAATATGAGGGAATGGTTGGGGTTATTTAAAACAGCACAAACGATAGTAATGCTTTTCAATTTGTATATTTAATTAGATTAATGTGTGGGTACTGCTAGAGAGTTCAGCTGCTAAGCAAAAGGGTAACGTCAATTATAATGCTAAACAAAACCATCAATCCGAGTTTTATATTTCTCTAGCTTCACCTACTGGGTTTTCTACCCTTCGACCTTTCCTACTTGATTAGATCTCAAAATGAAGAAGGATAATCGTATTTTCTTCGTTACGGAAGCATACATGCTCCCCCACGGCATGAAGGTTTCGAAATCTGTTAATGGTCCGCGAACCTCAGTAATGAAACTATTCACCACTGCGTAGAAGCCGACTAGAGTAAAAAGTAATGGATTTATCGCTGAATTCAGCTATGCATACTTACCGAATCAACAGATGCGCTCATATGGACTCGATTTTCAGTTATAGAATTCGAAAACCCAGGCCTTTTAATTTTCAGGGGTGAACAATCCGAGATCCCAAATATGTTTACAGCGTATCCTATTGACCAAATCTTTGTGATAGGTGAAAGGTTTACGAGTACATCATATTCTGACGATTCCCCCATCATCATCACCTGCGAAATACAGTGAAGCAAACTTCACTGATCGTTGCCAAACTCGCAAGGTTAGTGGTAATGTTTAAGGTTTGCAGGGATTGGACCTATTTTGAGGAAGGGAAAAGATGAACCTGTATGGTCAACACTGTACAGTCGAACTCTGCGTATTTACCTTTTCAAACATTCTGGTTTGATAAGAAATGAAAGGAGCGACACTGCTATCGGTTCGCTACGATATCCATCTGTCTCCAACCATCCAGTTGCGTCTCCTCCATGCTGACATGTCTCATGCCACGAGGAGACGAAGCAGGTAGATCAATGCATTTATAAGTCAAAATTATTTCTGGTAACGCGCTTCATAGTACATTAAAGCTCAAAATAACCAGGGAAGAATCAAGTGGCATTAGTACTTTAGGGTGAGCAGGGCACTAAAGATCATAATAAACCGGGAGTCCTAGATTCCTTCGGCGGTGCACTCACGGGATTACTTCACTCACAATATCGAAGCTCGTCCTCTTGATTAATAATATGTAGTAGTACTAGGTAGTTATAAGTATCACTTGGCTTTTCATCAGTTAACATGTATTGAGCAAGAAGATCTTATCATCACCGTTCTCGATCACTGAATAGCATATATAAGCGACTATGGGGTTCAACTCGTCTGCAGTACATCACACAAAATGTGTAGTAAAAATGCTCTGCTCGAATGTTTGATGTTCATTTACGACGGAACTATGAAGCTGTATCGCACACTGTTGACGGGAATCCATTTGACTAATGGAATTTGAGCTCTGTTGTTCAGTAAGGTATCCATCACGCAAACCAGCTGATCTAATATCCGACAAGTATTACAGAAATACGTGTGGCTCTCACTACTGAAGTATTAGGTTATCGTCTTCAAAGTCAACAGATACTCATTGTTGGATCATCTCGTACCTTGAAAGCAAGCGTATTTGCCAATTTTCCTACGACTCAAATCCAAAAGCTGAAGAGATTCAGCAATGCGTTGCTTCTCCCGCGGTGTACTACTTCAGTTCAGTTCAGTTCGTACAACCGTCAACCATGTACCTTCGTGCGACAGTTTTAGTTGTGTCTTTTGGCTACCCATTTGGATGAATATTAGGAGAAAGACCGGAAAGGTTGAAAGAAGTATCAAAGAGAAAATTTAGAATTTGAATGAACTAATGTTGACAAGATGCACGAACTTTTTTTACTACACGAGGTGATTTACAGCAAAAGGGGTAACTCCCATAATCAACCGTACCCCGCCACCCAACTTTGGCAGTAGGCAGCTTTGCTGTCGTTCGGTTCATTAGTACTCCTAACCTATCGGGGCCTTATATGGTTCTCCACTCCAAGTCCCGGGGCTAAGGTTGCCGATCTCCACCATTGATCAGCAGGTCCTCGTGACGGGTTCACTCGGTCTACTGTTCGTCACAGGTGTGTAGTAAAAAAATAAGGGCTTAGAAGCACGAAAGTGGGAAGAATGTTCCACAATTTCGCAGTCCTCGGGAAAAAAGATTGAAAGATAGAAGTCCGACATCTGGGGCCAGAAACCTGATGAGTGTGATTGCCCGCCTGAAAACGAGAATGGAAGGGGAACCGCCGCAGGGAGTTCGTATGGGCAGAAACCAAAATAGTAACGATAGAAAAGAGGTGACGAAGCAACTGCCCGGCGATTGGAAAGCGACTGCAAGTTTGAAGTTAAAGATTGTTCGTCGAGGAGAGAATGAGCGGGATGCGAAGCTCCACCCCATACGTGACTGCATTGTCCAAGCATCGGGCGGATTTGAGCTTTGCATAAGGGGAAAATGTGCTTGGGTGTAAAGAAACGCTCTGCGCGGAATAGAAAACCAACTTTGCGCTCATCGTGAGAGGCAAGTGTAAAAATAAAAGGGAACCAAAAGAGAGAATTTATGTATAAACCCAAGAGGAAGAGAGAATTTGTGGATCGAAGGGAGCAGAGAATCAAAAACCAATTGAGGAAAATAGGGAACACGTTTAAGAGAGACTGAGAGAAGAGAAATTTTGGAATCATTGAGACACATGTTGGATAGAACCCCTTGCGGAGATTAGTCCCAGATCGGAGGCAAGAGAAGCATCAATGACATTACGATCGTGATTGATGTTGATATTAGCTTGAACTCCACTGTTGACGACACAGCCATATCACTCGGCGTCTCTAACCATCGGTTACGATCATCCCGAGGTCCCCATCCAGGGAACCTCACGGGACCTATGTGACCGACTCTCCTGGTTAAGGTTTTCATACCCTCGTGTCAGGTCTTATAGCTTGACCACCCTTGATCTTTTTCCATCCACTACCTGCCTCGGTAAACATCACGCGCCGTGGCAGCCTATCTGGTGACATGCGTAACACATGTCACCAAACACTGTAACCTATGGAGGTCGACCACTTGCTCCAGTGGTCAACCGCGGTTACCTAAAACTCTGCGCCTCACCTCAGCATTGCTCCTCCGACTGCCCCCACCAAATAAGTGCAGTGCGACGTAAACAGTGGTGTTCAAACACTGACAGTCCATATTTATCCTGTTTCCTTAGTGGCTAAGTTTCTGCGCCGTAGCGGAACTAACCGAACTACTGCGGCATACACTCGAAAGTTAACATACATCCGGATGTGGCAACGGCCCCACAGATATCTCTAGTTATCAAATGCCAACTGAACCTTCAGTATGCGAGCTGACACTTCATCCGTGATGCGTTCACTGGGTAAGATGTAGCTGCTCAAATAACAAAACTTATCCACTTGCTCTATTAATTCCCCCGTTAGAGTGAGTCTAAGTGCTGGACCAACCCAGTCTTGTAGTAACATTTTACACCTTGAAGGTGCAAAACGCATACCAAACACGGTTACGCTGGCGCTTCAGCTATCCAGAAAAGCTTGCAACTTACCTGGGTCTTCACTTAGTAACACAATGTCGTCTGCATACTCCAGATTATACAGTCTATTATCTGGGAGCAAATCAATGCCACTATCCCACGAAGATAGGATTGTTTCCATAATCAAATATGTAACAAACTTAAATCGAAAAGGACAGACAGAGGGCAGTCCTGACGAACCACTTTCTGTGGTGAACTCGAGCGAAAAAGTGCCGTAAGCCCGGACTCGACTTCGGCTATTGGTATAAAGTGATTGTAATATTGAAATTAACTTCTCGAGCACTCCTTTCAGAGAAAGGCACCGCCAGAGTTTAGAGCGGTCGACTGAGTCGAAAGCCGCTTTCAGATCCAGGAAGACAGAGATGGCGGGTTTACGAAAAGAGTATCGATGTTTCGTAATTTGGCGGAGATCGAAGATGTGGTCGATACAACCTCGACCAGTTCTAAAGCCATCCTGATTCTCACGCATAAACCGTTCACGATCGACAGTATAGTACCATCGACAAGTTTAGAGGCAATGCTGATTAAACTAATTCCTCTGGGATTTTCACAGGAGGACCTGCCACCTTTCTTGTAAGTCGATGTGATGACCGATTCACACCATTCAGTTGGAACCTCTTCCCTTTCCCATATTGAGCCCAAGACTTTCGTCAACTCCAAGGCTGACGTTGAGCCTCCATCCTCAAACACCGATGGGAACAGCCCATCTTAACCAGATGCCTTATGCCTTTTGAGATAACTTATTTCCCGGGTAACCTCCATTTCAGATGAAGGACTGGCATCGACTGGGAGTATTTGCCCAGTCGAAGTGAGGGGGGAGGGGTGATAGGTCAAATGCCAATGGGGGCCAGTTGAACTGCGTCTTGAAGTGTTCAGCCGATCGATCAAGACGACGTTGATTATCGTGAATCAGTGTGCCATCGAGTTCTTTAATTACTTCACTTACTCTTGTTTTCCTAGGGCCCATATTCCTAATTAGACGGAAAAGGTTGCGACTGTTGCCAATATATGCAGCTTTCTCTATCTCTTAACACTTTCCTATCCACCACTTCTCGCGGTCATTCCTCAGTTTCTTAATGAGCTGGCGTTCGAGGGATTTGCGCACTGTGTCATATGTGGTATCGGGAGGGAAGGTTCTGCGGGCTTCCAGCAGGACAGCCGAGGTCGACGAGATCCATCGTTTGTGTTTTGAACTTGCGGCAGGGTCCGACGTTTTTATCGATATTTTCTTAGCGGTATCGTTTCTTGTGCGAGTTTTTGCTTGTCAGGGACAATCTGTGGTTCGTGCAAAGTTAAAGTAGGCGTTCTCCGTTGTCAGTTCGGTTGGCTGAGATTGCATCCGGTCCGCC